CCACTCCTGTGTGCGATCTGGGGGTGGGCGGGGCTGGGGTGAAGGCAAGGAGTACCGATCACCTCGCCCGAGCCCTCACTGCCCACCGGAGACAGGTCCCAATGTGACCTGGGGGCAGGCGGGGGCTGGGGTGAAGGCAAGCCGTACTGATCACCTCGCCTGGAGGGAAGGAGGCCATAGGGGTCAGGATAGCCTGAGAAGAGGGAAATCCCAGGAGGAGGCACCTGGAAAGTGCAGTGAATTGCAGGAGAGGGTGGAACAGCCACACACTGGCAAACCCTGCCCACCCCTGGTCAGTGACGTGGGCCCCAAGTGCTCCTGGGCTTTGCCTTGCATCGCAGGGGTTATGCTGCTCATGGGCCGGGCAAGCAAGGGCCACCCCAACCTGTGAAGTTTCGCACAAAGGTGGGGAGGCCAGATTCGGGTGGGTCTGTCAGGCCCAGGGAAGGCACCTTCGCTCTCTGTGCCAAGACGGTGGACAAGGGACCCTCCGGAGACGTGTGGTGACTGAACGCAAGCCAGGCCGGAGTCCTGCTCGCACTGAGAGGCAAGTAACTGGGCACCGTGCCCCAAATGCATGGGGAGCACCAGCGGCCTCCTCTCTCCTGCCCTGGAAGGTGGGAGGCCTGGCAGGATTCACAGGTAAAACGCAGACACTGTTGGGTCCCAGACCCCTTTTCTTTGCACACACACACCACCAGCCCTGCCCCCTCCCCACCATTCTGTGAGGCTAAGGTCCCTGAGCCCAGATCCAAAGACTGCAAAGGGAACAATTCTCTCGGTGAGAACATGCAGGCACCTCCTGCCAAGGCGGCCAAGTTTGACAAACAGCGCCTCCTGGGGTGGGGAAAGCAGAGTGCCACGGAGCAGCCCCGGCTCCGAGCTACCCCGGGGGCAGGTGGCCACCACGGTTTCCTGCTGGCCCCAACAGCTGGGCAGCGGCCCCTGCCTGTCCGGTGCACCTAGGCCTTGCTGACCTCATGACCCCCAGAGCACACACCCGCCTCTTGGTCCTAATTGCCTCTCCCCACTCCACACATACACACACATGCATCTGCAAAGACGGGAACAAGGCCCAGGCGGCTGCGTCCATGCCCTTGCTGGCAAAAGTCATACTCCAAGTGGCCGGCTGTGTGAGGGGCAGTGGACACTCACTCACTCACTCTCTCCCTGGAAAATCCCGGGCGCACCTCGGCTCCTGCAACGTGCGGAATTAGAAATCGAACCGTTTATTGTCTCCTAACTTTTCTCTGGTTTCTTTGGTCACTCACTGTGGCTGCCCCCACTGTTCTGAGTGGGCGCTGGGGGCTCCTCAGCCAGACCACAAATCCCCAAATCAAACACTCGCTTTCAGAAAGCCGGGCTTCTCTCAAAGCACCCTGCAACCTAAAAGGTTGCCCCTCCGTGAAAAGCTGGGAGGAGCACTGAGCTGGAAAAGGACAGCTGGTGCATGGCGGGTCCCTGGGACCCGAAAAGGTGCAGGAAAAAAAAATTTTTTTAACATATTTCAATTTCAAAAAGTAAAAACAAAACCAAGAAAGAAAACCTACGCTTTCAAAGCCTGAACATCCACAGGGACCTCAGCGCGATCCCGAGCCGCCGCCCGCCCCAGCGCAGGATCCGGGCATGCCATCTGCCACCAGGGGAGCGGGACTAAGCCAGCAGGTGGTTATCTCCTGAGGGGTCCCAGACTGTGAGAGGGCACAGGTTGGGCTGAGCCGCACGCCCCCCTGCCAGTGCACAAATTTTTGTGCACGGGGCTTCTAGTAAATTAAATAAGAGTCCAGAGACAAAACATAATTTTGAAAGGCATTATAGGGAGTCAGAGAAGACTTAGCTAAAGGAACTAAGTTCTTCTTGTCTCAGGACCCCTTGCTTTTTATTAACATAAATTGTCCTAAGGCAAGGCAGAGATAAACACATCAAAGGCCAGGGTTTCATATACACAATCCATTTTCAGATTGTCAGGTTTTGGAGAAACTGCTTGCTTTCGGCTGTTTAGGTGTTTGGTCAGTAGGAGGCAATGATATGTAGATTGAAGTGCCCTGAGCTGTCTGGCAGCAAGCAATCATTTAATGCATCCTTTTCAGGTTTGGGGAAATGCCCTCAGCCATCTCCAGATGATTCAGCCCTGCTGACATGCTGGAATTGGCTTCTGGCAGGACCCCTTGGGGGATGTCGGAGAGCTGGTTTTTGCCTGATCCCCACAGGCCAGGCTGAGTGACCCTACCTGCCAAAAGGGACCCTGCTCACTCTGCAGATGTCCTTCAAGCCACGGTGCCACCCCAGGTGTGGTCAGTTGGGGAGCAACCATGGGAGGTTGACTCCAGGGTGTGTCTGGCCCGCTTCGCCCAGTCCTGTCCCACTAGCCACTTTCTAATTAATTTCCTTTCAATGTGCATGGATCCATGCACCGGGTCACTAGTATTGTAACAGCTATGTATGGTGCCAGGTGGGTACTAGACATATCAGGGAGAACACTTTGCAAAGTATATGATTGTTGCTGAAACCGGTTTGGCTCAGTGGATGGAGCGTCGGCCTGCGGACTGGAGGGTCCTGGGTTCGATTCTGGTCAGGGGCGTGTGCCTGGGTTGCGGGCATATCCCCAGTGGGAGATGTGCAGGAGGCAGCTGATCAATGTTTCTCTCTCGTCGATGTTTCTAGCTCTCTGTCTCTCTCCCTTCCTCTCTGTAAAAAATCAATAAAATATATTAAAAAAAAGTATATGATTGTCTAAATACTATGCTGTTCATCTGAAACTAATACAAAATAATGTTGAATGAAAAGTGTATTTGAAAAATAAAATTTGAATAAAAAAGAAAGTAGTTTTAGAAACTTTCACAGTCTAGAGGAGCCTAAAAAGACATGATGACTAAATGTGATATAGAATCCTGAATGGGCCAAAACCGGTTTGGCTCAGTGGCTAGAGTGTCGGCCTGCGGACTGAAGGGTCCCAGGTTCGATTCTGGTCAAGGGCATGTACCTGGGTTGCGGGCACATCCCCAGTGTGGGATGCGCAGGAGGTGGCTGATCGATGTTTCTCTCTCATCGATGTTTCTGACTCTCTATCTCTCTCCCTTCCTCTCTGTAAAAAATCAATAATTAATATATATATATATATATATATATATATATATATATATATATATATATATAAGAAAGAAATGAGATTTTTAAAAAAAAAGAATCCTGAATGGGATCCTGGAATAGAAAAAGGACATTAAGAAAAAAATAACTAAGGAAATTTGAATACACTGTAGACTTTTATTGGTAATAATGTATCAATATTGGCTCATTAATTATAACAAATATGCCATGTTAATAATAGAACCTGGGAGTGGGGTATTTGGGAACTGTATTATCTTTGCAACATTTTTGTAAATCTAAAACTTTTCCAAAAATGTTTATGAAGAAAATGTAGTGTGAGTAGATCCCTGAGTTACTTAAGTCATTAACAGGATTATAGTTGTTTGTGTTTGTTTTATGTGTTTTTTCTTTTATTTCTCTTCCCCCAATTAACTTTAGGATACTTTGATAGACAAGGTAGGAATTAAGCCTGTGCACAGGTTAAACTTCAGTTGTTTTTATGCAGCTATAGATCCTCACATACTTGAAATAGCAATGGAATTTGTAACCCAAAATACAGCAGGTAAATTCTGAACTTATTTGCCTGCTTCACAGGTATTTTGTATTGTTTATTGTTTTGTTTTGTTTTGTTTGAAGCTATTTCATTACACCATTAGCAACTTATTTTATAAATTAATGTGACTATTTCTGGCAATAAGATCAACAAGTTCAATTATGTTTTTAATAAAGCTAAATATTATCTCACGAATTTTTTTACTTATTGAAATATCAGAAATTTTCAACATTCTTCTCCAGTACAATACTTTTTTCCTATTGACAAAGTACCTATTCATCATATTCACTTTCTCAGGTTTTTAGCACACTTGCCTGGGTTATTATGATAATATTTATGTGTAAACTGCTGATTGCTAACCTACATATTATTCACTAAAGTTTGAGTTTTTTCACACATGGTTAGAGTCAGGATGAGAAATAACATAAATTAATTTATACATATATTTCTAAAAGTGTGATCTCTTTTTGCCAGAAGTTAAATTTTTGCTTGATTTAAATTTTGATTTTTTTTCTTCCTTCATCAGCTAACCCTTGGTGATAATGAGTAAATCAATATCACAAAAATAGAAAAAATGGGTAAGAAAAGAAAGAAGACAAAAAGCACCAGGTTCTGTGCTCTATAAATCTTAATCAAACTTCAAGACTAAAGAAATGCAAAATGCAGTTGAATATTAACTAATCATGTGCAGCTTGAGAGATTTCAACGTACTGGGATTCTCTCCATGTAGCCAGAGTAAAAGTGAAACCAGGAGTCAAGTTACTTTGTTCCACCAATATTATCACCATTCTCCAGAAACTTATAACTTATTTCACTTGGATATATATATATATATATATATATATATATATATATATATATGAGAGAGAGAGAGAGAGAGAGAGAGAGAGAGAGAGAAACAATGATGTGAGAGAAGCATCAATTGATTGCCTCCTGCACATGCCAGGACTGGAGGTCAAACCTGTAACTTGGGTACGTGCCCTGACCAGGAATTAGTGAACAGGATGATGCTCCATCCAACTGAGCCACACCAACATGGCTAAATATCTCTTAATTTAATCTTGAAAGATGTAAAGTAAATGTTCTAAACACCACAATATTGTTCACCAGCTATGAAAAGTGAGAGAAATGATGTTCACTCAAAGAATTCTATAGAAAGGCTTAACAGAGAAAACAAAAAAGAAGTATAACATAGAAGTGTACCACCAGCAAGGTGTATTTTACTCTATATAAATTTAAAAACCAATTTAAAATGAAATAAAACTTTTGACTTTTGAACTAACAAACACAATAAAAATGCACCTTTATTTTTATAACTTTATTAATACCTATATTAATGAATATAAGAAAGCATGCAATACAGAACCTGGAATAGAACAATTAATACACATTTGCCACTGGACTACATACTGCCATCCTGGGTCATACAATATCCAACCTTCTCACTTCCAAAGCATAGCTAGAGCTGCTTTGGGATACTGTTCACTTTCAGATACTGTATGATGTCACAGAGGAGGAATCTTCTCCAAATACAAACATAAATCTATATTTCATAAAATTCCAAGTATTTTAAACAGAGATAGAATAAATTTCACAGATTTTATTTCTAAAAATATCACATACAGTCACGAAACAATTGCCTTCGTATTTTTTTTTCATTTGTGCACACACATTTTTCTGAGTAGCCTTTTCATTACTATTGTCAACTGTCAGCTGTTGTCAACTTGCACTGATTTTAAAAATCACGCTTACTGAAAACACTTGGATTGTTAATGTACAAACGCTACTATGAATGAATATTTTAAGGCCTCTGTATGAAATTGCTCTGGTGTGGTAATTGGCACATAATGTAAAAAGGTTTTTTTCAAATATAGTTCAGCTTCTCTTGCTCCCACATTTTCCAGGGCATTTGTGCCAATTGGAAACCGCCAAAACAGTGTGTAATGAATGTGATAAAAACTTTTTCTAAACATAACTACAAATTTGGTTTGAAACAAATATGAAAGAAGAAAAACAGAAATGATCACCATACTGGGAAATATGAATCAAAAGAATATAAAAAAAGTCTAAACAACCAACTAGATGTTCATAAATAAATGTATATTAAGAGATATATGCACATTCAGTCTTAATGTAAACAACAAAAAACTAATTTTGACAGATACATGTGGGTCAAATTTTCTTAAATTTTCCATGACTAAACAGGAGTGTGTGTGTGTGTGTGTGTGTGTGTGTGTGTGTGTGTGTGTGACACGACTTCATTATAAGGAAAGACTGCACAATTTGTGATTTTTTTCAGTCTACTTTTACCCATTTTAATGAAAGTGTGTGACAAATATTAGTTTGGGAAGGCAGAGGCTCTTCATAACTGTCACCAATACACAATAGCACTAATTTTTTAACAGCCATTTTTGCTAACCGAGTTTACATTACCAGAAACAAAATGTTAAATAGCTAAATGAGACTACACAAAATATACTCTCTAAATTTATTACACTGTCTGTATCATATGTAAGTTTGATTTTAATACAGCCACACAGTATTAGCTAAAACTTGAAGATAAGATTCAAGAAAAAATGTGTAAGCACTTAGCATATAAGATACACAGTGATTGAATACATACTTATAAATGTGATATATTAATGCTATAGCTAGTGACTTATTAACCACATGTAACTGAATACAGCCACAAAAATTGAATAACCAGTCTCACTGAACATATTATCATACTTGCCATTCAATTTGAAGTTTTAATTTCAAACTAAATCAAATCTATTTCTTTTTTTCAAGGGAATTAGTTTCAATTGATGGTAAGACAATACTTTTTGTACTTCTAGGACTAAATTTTTGCACATCATAAGAGCCACCTTTGAGCTTTGTCAATCTATAGCTCTGTCTATCCATTCAAAGAAAGAATTTGCAATACAATGAGAAAGATCTCATCAGATCTGAAGCCTTAGAAGTTATAGGTTGCCAAGGCCAGACCTGTGGAAGCTTTGAAAGAGAATGCATAGGGGAGATAACTGGGCTCACTCCCCTTGCCTCTTTGGCTACTTGCCCCCTGCTTCCGTTCACTGCCCCTCTGGCACAGAACCAGAAGAGGATGCCCAGTCTTTTCATATTATTAACACAGTCTAAGCCTGACTATATAATCAGAGTTAGAAAGGGCAATAAAAGCATATTTGTTCATTCCTATATCTCTAGGAAAGGTAGCAAAATATTGCCAATTTTTACATAGGAGGATTTAAGAGCCACACTTAAAATTCAATAAATCACACTACAAGAAAAAATTCCTAAATATCTAATTTTCGTTCCTATTCTGATTTTTATCAACATAATAATCAATCATATCCCTAACATATTATTTAATTTTTTCAGGTTCCCTTTTTTTTTCTTTTTATTTATTTAATTTTGTGTGTGTAGACCATAACTAAAATGTGGAAATAAGAAAATGTGAAAATAACTAAAATAGAAGAAGATATTCTCATACATTATCTTGGAGATTTTTCAGAGAAAAAACAGCCTAAATTCTACTGGAAGCTCTGATTTTGTCATTCTGGGTTTCTTTATCTTCCCCAGGTTTAAATCTTCATTGTCAACAATATCAACAACAATATCAACACCTACACATGGTCATATTTCAATAATCTTTCAATCATCATCAGTCTTTCAAGATTCACATGCACCTGGACTACCAGTATGCTCCAAATCCCTTTGAATATTAACAAACACAATGGAGAAAATATTAATAATACTAATTAATTTGAAATTTCACTAATTAAACTCTTGTAGTTAAAAGTGAATAAGTTTTCTACATACCAAATCAAATATAATTTAAAGAGTTTCATAGTGGGAACAATATATTCTCAAAACGCTACGTAATCTGCTGGGCACACTAAGAGAAGCTTTCTCAACATTCAGTGGAAACCTTCACCAATGAAATTACACATTTACCACACTTTATATTACAACATTTACACACACAGTTTAACCATAAATTACATATCTTCAAGTTACACATTACAATGTCTACATCTAATTTAATTAACAAGAAATATTCACTCCCCCCACCCCAATTAATACATCATTTGTCTCTCGATTTAGTATAATACAGAAACAAGACATTTTCTTGGTTTTGCTATGGAGGAAAATTAAGTTGGTACTGTTTCTGTATATTGGTGAAATGTGCACATAGACAATCATGGCCAGGTATAAGGACAAAAAAAGAAAAGAAAAAGCAATTAAAAACAGACAACAGAAGGAAACTAATGTTCCCTAGGAATACTATTGTATTCTTTGCTTAGAACATATTTTGTTTTCAGATATGATATTTTGTTGTGTCTTTTCTTGTGTGTTATTGGGGTATTTCTCATCTACCCCAAGAAGCAGTCATGAATCTCATTTCTCCCTCTGCACATCTCCTTAGAATTCTATACTATAACACCTTCGATGTAAATTTATAATTCCATTACTTGAAAACTTCCTTCCTGACTCTGATCTTGTTATCAGTGGTTGTCTTCAGTTAGTCGAGCTAGAATGGCAAAAATCCCCTAGTCATATAGGTTTATTATGTGGTTTTATCTACAGTTATATTAATTTGTTTACTTTTTTACTGAACATCTTTTGGTATCAGCCTATTCAGCAATCATAACAACATTTTAATCTTCCTGATAGTCTTTAGAAAATAGCAGTTTCCAGTCATAGGAGTAAATGAATCATGCTCTAAATGCATTCACTTTCCTTGTGATTTTCTAGGCTGTGACTTTCCAGAAGAGAAAGACCTAATTAATAATGGAACATAGGCTTAAAATGGCAGATAAAATATGGTTTCTGATGCACTTTACACTACATTACAAAGACAAATTTTTATAGAAAGAGGCCCTTTTAGCAAGTATTTGCCTAATTTGGGCACAGATATTGCACTTCAGTGTCTCGAACTCTACTAAAGAGTAGAGAATAGGTTATAGACAGAATCTGTACAGTTTATGTATATTCTTTACAGAAAATGTATATACAAATTATATCAATAATATATACTTCAAATAAAGGTAGAAAACATAAAAAAGACAGAGGCAAAAATCTAAGAGATATTTACACTCACTACTGTGCATTTTTGTACAAAACACTAATAACAAAAAACTGGAGACTAACAACAAATATCAAACAAAAAGACAGACAAAATACGACCCTATTTATACCATCCAATGTTATCTGAACAAAAGTTGAAACAAACTGAAGGTACTCTTGGAAAATCAGATATTTTCTAGTTTTCCATTTGTTACCTACTAGGTTACAAAAAATCAGAATGGAAAAAAATCAGTAATATTGCACATTTTGGTAAAAATAAATGAAAAAAATCTACTGTGCATCAGAAATACTATATATTACACATTAGTATCTGTCATGATAAGCCTTTCTGTACAAAAGGTGTGAAATTTTCTATTTATTTTTTTAAATATACATTCTAAATTAAACAAATTGTAAATTTATTTTTATCTTTTGACTAAGGGTCTAGCTCTATAGTCTATTCTGGTATCTGTGTGTATTTACATAGCTATTTACAAACCTAACAATTTGGAATATTCATTGAAATTGGATCTTACATTTTGATTGTATACATTCTGTTGAAAAATGTAAATTAGCCATTGTAGCTTTACAAGGGATGTTCTTCCATAATGGGAGAATCATCCCTAGAGGCTCTAGCCTTTTGGCCTGGAGTGAAGGTTTTCAAAGAAATGATTTTAACTGAATCATCACTAAGATGAATTCTTTCAGACATAGTATAAAACTGAGATCTTGTACTAACTTGCACTCCGTGATCAAGAGACAGTAGTCCTTCAGGTCCAGCCTCTTGCCCCCAACCTTGCTGCAAACCCATTGGTGGCCGCGCAGGACTCTGATGGTGGGCAGCGGCCTGTGGCAGAGGAGGGCTGTGGTGGATTACAGCAACCTGTGCTGGTGGAGGGCTATGGGGAAGAGCAGTAGCCTGTACTAGAGGAGGACTGTGTTGGAGAGCAGAGACCTGTGTTGGTGGAGGGCTATGGCACAGTGCCATAACCTGGGTCACTGGAGGGCTATGGCAAATAGCAATGGTCTCTGTCACTGGAGGGCTGCGGCGGCGAGCAGAGGCTGGTGTCAGAGGTGGGCTGTGGCATAGAGTAGAAGCCTGTGCGTGTGAAGGGCTGGCGTGGGTCAGAGAAGCTGGCATCCAGCAGGCATCAGAATGGCCCAAGATGAGACATTCTTGAGTGCAGTTGTCAGAGGCCTCTTCCACAGTTGGTTGAACAGTTATTTCTGCAGCTGATAGGGTGGGAAACAAATGATAAAAAATATATTACAAAGGCATATTTTTATTAGCTACTTAAAATAAATCTTATTGTTACGGGAAAAATTAAAACTATCTATATAAATACATTAGAGACTTACAATATTTTAACAATTGATTCTTGATTTGTCAAGAAATAATTCCTAGAGAAACAGCAATAACCAGGAGTGGATGGATGGGTCTCATTTTCATAATTAGGATACTTTGGCCTAGTCTTCCAAATGTATATATTTTTCAATGTGTTTGTGACTATAAATAGAAACTATGATTATTGATCTATACATAAAAGTCAGTTAATATATGGCTTCTAACTAACACAAAGTAAGAACATAAGTGAAACGAATAAGAAAACCAGTCATAGAAACATATAATGAACTAACTAATTATAGCTTACCATTTGGTTAAGAATCTAATTAATTAATTTGAGAATAAATCAAAGAATAAATTAGGTTAATTTGAAAACATAGTTTATTGAAGTCTAAAATGCCTTTTTGTTTCAAGAATGAACTATAGCTACAATTATCTCAAAGGTAATTGATTTCTGTATTTCTCATTTTCTGAAATCATGACAAATCAGTATAGCAACATAATGAACTACAGATACAAAGTACTTAGTGCTAAAATACCAGTAATACTTTCTAAAACTCCTTTATAAGGTTCGTATAACGTTTTCAAATGCCAATAGGTTTCAAATGTCAATAAGTACACCATACAAAGACTCGCAAAATCAAGATAGAGCAGCTATATCAATATAAAAAATAACTTTAGAACAAATAATGTTATTAGCTATAATGAATGAAATTGCATCGTGATAAAAGGTTCAATTCTCTAAGAAGACATAATCCAAAAATTAAAAAATATAAATTCCTGATCCTATAAATCTTCAAAGAAATATAGAGTCCAAGTACTGTTATTATCCTATCACACTTACAACTAAAGAACAAGATGTATGCGAACTGACTTTTATTAATACTAAATCTCTCTATTAGGTAACCATTTACATTTCTTCATTTAAAAAATACCCCCATGAGATTAAAATTTAAAATATTTTATCTTTTTACCCAACCATATTTGAGAAATAGTTAGAAAGATAGAGTTTTATGTATTTTGAGTGATATTAAATTATAAATTGTGCACAGAAATATATGAATGCACATATAACTATAAGTTAAAGAAAAATTTAATTTCTTAGTCATCATAAAAACAAATGATCTGGCAGACTTAAGTTTTACAACAAAATAATACATTATAATTTCAACATTGAGTCATTTGCCTATTTATGATAGAGAAATTCATACAAAGTCACTTTCACTGAAAGGAAATATTACTTATAAGCATTCCTTTAAGCAGCTCTGTTGAGATATAATTTACCCATTTAAAATGAACAATTTAGTAGTTTTTATTATATTCACAAAGTTGTGCAACTATCATCACAATCAATTTGGGGATATTCTTATCCTATAAAAAGAAACCTCATATACATTAGCAGTCTCAGCTCATTTTCCCCTAAACTCCACAGCCCTAAGCAACCATTAATCTACCTTTTTTTTCTTTTATATATTAGCTAATTCTAAACATGTAATATAAATTAAATCCTTCAACTGGAGTCTTTCGTGACTAGAATTACACTAACTGATATCAAATTATACTACAAGGCTATAGCAATCAAAATGCATGGTACTTGCATAAAAACAGACATATAGACCAATGGAACAGAATAGAGAGCACATAAATAAACCCATACCTTTAAGTTTAACTAATATTATGGCAAAAGAGGCAAAACATGCAATGGAGTAAAGATGGTCTATTCAATAAATGGTGTTTGAAAAAAATGAAATTAGATCACCTTCTTACACCCTAGATAAGATTTAACTCAAAATGGATTAAAGACTTAATGTAAGACTTGATGCCATAAAACTCTAGAAGAAAACATAGGCAGTAAAATCTCAGACTTTTTAAAATAATTGTTTAATTCAATCATTCTTTATTATATCTTTCACATATTACAACCATTATGGAGATAATTGAATATATTTAAAGCAAGATGATTACTTCAAGAGGAAAAACACATGCAATTCAAAAAGCATACATAATCAGACATTTTTCATAGCAATATTTGTTCTGACATATCGCTTCAGGCAAGGGAAACAAAAGAAAAAAATAAATAAGACTATATCAAACAAAATTTTTTTTTACACAGCAAAGGAAACCATCAACAAAACAGGAAAACAACCTACTAAAATGGGAGAAGAAATCCATCAATGATACATTCAATAAGGGATTAATATCCAAAATTTAAAGAACTCATACAACTCAACACCAAGAAAACAAGCAATTCAATTAAAAAATGGACAGAGAACCTGAATAGACAACTTCCCCAAATAAAACATACGGATGGCCAATAGACAACTGAAAAGATGCTCAAAGTCACTAATCATCAATGAATTGCAAATTAAAACCACAATAAGATATGAGCAGGTAACATTAATAAAACAACAGACAACAATGTTGGTGACTATGTAGAGCAAAGATAACCCCTTGTACTCTTTGTGGGGATGCAGATTGGTGCAGTCACTATGGAAAACAATATAAAGTTTTCTAAAAAAAATGGAACTACCTTATTACCCAGTGATTTCATTTCTGGGTTTATATATCTGAAGAAATCCAAAGCACCAGTTCAAAAGAATATATGCACCCCCATGTTCATTGCAGAATTATTGAGAATAGTGGAGATATGGAAGCAACCCAAGTGCCCATCAATAATTGAGGGGATAATAAAGCAGTGGTACAATATATACAATGGAATATTACTTGGCCATAAAAAAGAATAAAGTCTTACAATTTGTAACAGCATGGATGGACTTAGAGGGTATTATGTTAAGTGAAATAAGTCAATCAGAGAAAGACAGATTCCATATGATTTAACTTATTCATGGAATCTAAAGAATACAATAAACAAAATAGGAACAGACTCATAGATACAAAGAACAGACTGATGGTTGTCAGAGGGGACAGGTGTCAGAGAGCTGGGTGGAAAAGTTCAAGGGATTAAGAACTTCAAAGTGGTAGACACAAAACAGTCATGGGAATGTAAAGTAGAAATAGGGAATATAGTCAATAATCTATATATATAAAAGCCTAAGCTGGTAGCTATGATGTGCACTGACCACCAGGGGGCAGATGCTTGACACAGGAGCTGCCGACCAACAGCAACTTTGCAGAGTGCCCTCTCACACTCTGAAACCCCTTGGGGCATGTCGGACTGCCAGTTTCAGCCCAATGCCTACAGGCCAGGCCGAGGGACCCCACTGGTACACGAATCTGTGCACCAGGCCTATAGTCTATATATATATATCTAATATGCAAATAGACCAAACAGTGGAACAACCAAACAACTGGTCGCTATGACGTGCACTGACCACCAGGGGGGCATACGCTGAACATGGCAGGCTTTGGCAGCAGGTGGCAGAGCATGGAACATGGCAGGCATCGGCCTAACTGGGATGGTGGAACAAGTGAGCGGGGGCGCCAGACCAAGGCAGGGCGCCAGTCACTGTCATTGGGGTGAGCCTCTGGTGGTTACTAAAAATTCTTTGCTCCCACATGCCATGGTTCTGCCAGTTGCTTGCACCTGCTGCTGTCATTGGTCCTGCTTGCACCAGCTGCCAGCGTGGTACAGATCGCTTGGCGTTGTCAATGGGTGCGAGTGGCAGCTGCTGGCCCCAATTGCTGCTGAGGGCTTCTCTACCTCCACCTGCTCTTGAGAGGTGCTTGGGGCAGCAGCCACCACTTGCACCCACTGCTGGCACTGGCCCCAATTGCTCCGTTCTGTTAGCAAGTGAGAGCAGGGCCAGCACCGTCAACATGTGGGAGTGTTGGTGGTGGGAGCAGGGCTGCCAGCAGAAAGGGGACAGAGGTCCATGGGGGGGAGGGGCAGTCAGGGGCACAGAGGATGGGCCGAGACCCACCCTTGTGCCCACTGCAGCCTGGTGGCCCACAGTTCCTTTCAAAGTGCACAAATTTGTGCACTGGGCCCATAGTCTACACAATTAAAAGAGAAACATGCAAATTGGTGTCACTCTGCTACGCCCACCAGCCAATCAGAGCAACTATGCTAATTAACCCAACAAAGATGGCAGTTAATTTGCATACACAGGCACAGAGGGAACACTGAAGGCTCCGGCCGGAGTGAAGATGGAAGACTGAAGACAGAAGACTAAAGACTGAAGACTGAAGACTGAAGACTGAAGGTTGAAGAGGCATGCTGTGGCCGGACCAAAGGCCTGGGTCCCAGGTGCCAGAGGAAAACTGGAGCCAGCCGCCAGGGGAAGGAAGGCCTATTGCACGAATTTTTCTGCAATGGGCTTCTAGTATTGTAATAAATATGTACAGTGCCTGGTGGGTACTTGAAAAATTGTGGTAAGGGGGCACTCTACTAAATATATGATTGTCTAACTATTATGCTATACACCAGAAGCTAACACAAAATAATATGAATTGTAATTGAAATTGAAAAAAATTAAAATAAAAAAGCCACCTATCTTGATAACTAAAAAAAATTTACTTCAGATTTATTATAAATTAATTTCAGTGAGATATATTCATTTTATTCCTCTATACCTATATTCATTCTTGTGTTTTTGTGCCATTATTGTTTAGAGGTGATATATGTAAGTGTGTATATATTAGAATCAACAATACATTGTTATATTACTTTTTTTCATTATTGGTTTTAATGAAGCTGAGAAAAAATGGAAAAGTAAGGACCTAATTATAAATTTTCTTTTATCAAACTTTCTATTTACTGTTTCTGGTCCATTTCATTTGTTTTTGTGGATTTTGAGTTACTATCTGGTGTTGTTTTGATACTCCAATTCAGTTTCATTCCTACCCACCTCCTTTGTGAATATTATTGCTATAAATGTGGGTGAAAGATATTTAAGTCCCTGTTTTCACTTGTTTTGGGTATACACCC